ATTTGTGTGTGTGTGTGGCCAGCTCAGCCCACCAGGGGGCGGGGCTGGCTGGCATGTGGTGCTGGGGGATTGAACCGTGGTCCCTGTGCTTTGCTAAGCCTGCTCCAAGTAGGTGCTCTAGACCACTGAGCCATCTCACCAGCCCCAATGGCAGAAGTGTTTGTTTGTTTGTTTGTTTGTTTGTTTTTGCTCGGAATGCCTTCAAGGCATGACTGGCTGTATTGTGTTGTGGTACCGGGCAGGCCCCCTACTTTCTTTTATTCTACTCTTAGAAGTACACAGCTGCCTTGATTTAAATGCTTCTTTCGCCCTCTGAACTTCCCCTGGAAACGTAGTCCCCAGTGTAACAGTGTTGGGGAGTGGCAGGTGGGTAGCTCAGGAGTTAGTGCCTCTGTGAAAGGGCCTGTGGGAATGGGCTGTCTCTCCTGCCCCTCTGCTGTCTGAGGACTCACGGTTCCTCTGCAGAAGATGCAGCGGAAAGCTCCATCATGAAAGCAGAGCGCCTGGGCTGTCATCTGCTTGTGTCTGGATCTTGGACTTCCCGGCCTCTGGAACCATTAGAGTAAGTTTCTTTTCCTTTTTAATTACCCAGTCTGTAATATTCTGTTACAACAACACAAAACAGACTAAGACAGCAGTACCTTGGGGCTGGGGACATAGCTCAGTAGAATAAGCACTTGCCTGGCAAGTGCAAGGGCCTGAGTTCAATCCCCGGTTCTAAAAAAAAAAAGGTACCTTATTAATCAGGTCACCATGCTGTGTAATAGATCATTTAATCTTGCTCCTCATATCTAATCTAAGCCTTGTAGTTTTTAACCAATGTATCCCTTTTCCATCTTCCCACCACTTTCTTACTATTCTTAAAGACAGTATACCAGGTAGCCCTGAGCCATGAGCCATCCCTCATGTCAGCATCTTTGTGTGAGCTGTTATCTCTGCCTGCCGTGCTCCCCTACACACCTGTGTAGGTGACTGCCACTCTTCATTCAGATCTCAGCCCATTGCCATTCAAAGATGGCCCCCTATATCATCCTATGCAAAGTCTCTCAGATCCTTCTCTTCTGTCTACCTCTAATATTAGGCTCTATCACCTTGTATTACAGGCCTCATTATGTTCTCAAAAAAATTGTATGTTGGAGTGCTAATCAGTAATATTTTAGCAGTAAGTAAGGTAAATGGAGGTTCTGTGGGTTGTCCCTAATCAAGTGTGACTAGCATCCTTTCAAGAAGAAACTAAGAAGATAGACCCTTACCCAAGCACCAAGAGAAGACTGTCTGCTCCAAGCCCAGGACAGGCCTCAGAAAAGACCAACCATACTAACCTTTGATGTCTGACTTCTGGCTTGCAGCACTGCAATGAAATAAATCTGTTTTTTAAGCCATGCAGTCTGTGGTGTTTTGTTATACTGTCCCTGGAAATTAAATACTGTAAACCCAATCTTGCCTTTTTCCCCATGGTATCTATCAGTACTTGATCTGGCATATCTGTGTGGTTATTTGTTTATCTCCTTGGTTAGACTGTGAGCTCCATGAAGGCAGACTTCACCTTTGATGTGTCCCCAGCAGAATGCCTAACACGGCTAGTGATCAAGGAGTACAATGTTTAAGTGACGTGTCCTGTGTCACTACTTTCCTGGGTCTGTGATCACCCTCTGGGATGCTCCTTTCACCTGCTCTCTGCAGGTGGTGTCTTCTCCACCTGCCCTTCCTTGGACAGTGTACTCCTATGTACAAGGGATTTAGTAGAACCCTGGCTCTGTCCCTTGCCAGTGTGTAACGGTGGGCAAATTATTCAACTTCTATGATGTATTTTCCCCACTATAAAATGGATGTTAATGCTTGCCTAACTGAAAATTCAACCTGAGGACAAAAAGGGATAGAGTGGAAAGCACTTCATGAATTTTTAACCTATGCCTGACTTTAACTCCTTTCTTTAAGGAGTCTTAAGAGTGATGTCATAGGGGCTACGAGATAGCTCAGCAGGCTAAGTGCTTAGGCAAGTGCAGGGACTGGGGTTCAATCCTGGGTACCACAAACTGTGCCAGTGCTGTCCCCGGGTGCCCTGAGCTGGCCACCAAGACCCGGCATGGTGGTGGACACCTGTAATCCCAGCACTGAGGAGGCTGAAAACAGGAGGATCACTATGAGTCCGAACTGCATCCTGAGACCCTGTACCAAATACATTAAAAAAAAAAAATAATGTTGTAAATGAAATAAATGAGACTTGCATGTGTAAACATCAAATTGTCTTCCTAGTATAAGAAACTGAAAGAGTAAATAAGATATGAAGATACAGTAGGTACTGTATAAAGGAAAGTGCTCAAAAGGAACAACTGGGATAGGGGAAAGGAGAAAAGGAATATATACATATACACCATGTAGCTAAGATAACTTTACTGCTGATGTCTGTTCACCTAAACAAAGTGTTTATGTTGTTTGATTAATCTTACATACCTATATCTTGTCATCTGAGCAACTATTTTGAAGATTACAATCAGTAATATAAGCATTGTTAATACCCTATCAGGTTTTGAAATTCTATATCATTTTTATTTTTTTATCTTTAAACAGGAAAAAACGGAAAAAGTGATGTTAAGGTATATATAATTTTTTTGTGTGTGCCAAGGATTGAACTCAGGACCTTGTGCTTATCAGGCAGGCATTTATGCCACTGAACTATCTCACTGGTCTGGTTAAAATAATTTTTTTTGGAGGAATTCCCATGCTTGGATAGCAAAGTAAAAGGCCTCCTAGGCTTGAGGAGAGGGGTCACTCTTCACCCACATCCAGGCTTGCTTGGGTCAGGTTAGTTT